AGGACTGATTGTTTCCATTAATTTTGGTTTTCTTCTTTCTTCTTGACGAGGAGAGACCCGTTGTTGCATCTAGATGGCAGCTTCCTACCTTTTAAGGTCCCAGTCGCTACACTCTAGATATGTTTTAGTGTCCAGATATGTGTGAGACAAAATTGCATATTCAGGAAACTACATGTGGTTCAATTGCTAGAAATCGAAGTGCAAAAGATGGAAGTAGGAGATAAGCCCAGACAGGCAGATTAGGGATCAGATCATGTTAAGGAGTTTAGAGTTCATCCTGTAGGCTATGAAAATATATCCACTTGTTAAACGGAGGACAGATGTAATATTTGTGTTATAAAGAAAATAACTGGTCATGATAGGCTGATAAAACAAGAAGCAGTTACTATCAGACAAGGGGGCTGGCAACTAATAAGATTACTACAACAGTCTTGATGACATGTGGAGGTCCTATACTATTAACAATGTAGTAGGCAGAATATGTGTAACAAATATGTAGCAGGTGGACTCAGTAAGACTTGGAGACTGGATATGAGAAATGAAGACACAGGAGCCTAGTTTGACTCAGTTTTCCGATTTAGGTATTTCAAAGAGTGTGTATAGTGTCATTCACTGAGACTATAAATATAAGAAGGAGGAGGAAGTTTGGCAAGACAGTTTCAATTTTAGATATGCTGGAGTTGAAAGTGGAGAAGTCCAATAGCAGGCAGATACACTGGTCCAGAATCCAGGAAAAAGTCAGAGATGATTACTTTGGGACTTATAATCAAATGGGTGATAGCAGAAGTACTGACTCTGGGTGAGATTCCCCCAGGGAGAGAAAGAAAGTGAAATAAAAATAGGCAAAAGAACAGATATTGAGAAACAGCAACATTTAAGCAGCAGATGGAGAAAAAATAGCCAGTAAAGGGAGGGGGAAAAAGAAAAGAAAACCACAACAAACAATTAAGATGTGAGAGAACCCAGAAAGAGAGACCACGTCAAAAAACAGAGTGTAATCAATAATGTCAAATGTCACAGAAAGGTCAAGTAAGGCAAGGACTGTGAAGTAGTCATTTGATTTAGCAATGAAGCCACTGGTGACTCCTGCCACAAGAACTGACGTGGGAGTGGAAGAATGTGTTTGAACACTCATTCTAGTTCTCTCTTCCTCCACTCCCCAAAGTCTCTTCTACCTCAATAGATAGGATCTCTGTGCTTCCTGCTGTCCCCTTCACTCACTGTTCCAGCCACAGAGACCCCTCAGTGTTCCTCAAGCAAGCCAAATAGCACTCTCACATCAAGGTCTGTGCCCTATGGATTCCTCTACTTGGGATGACCATTCCCCAGATAGCCACATGACTCATTTGCTTCTCAGTCTATGCTCAGATCTGAGTTTATGAGTGAGGTCTTCCAACATCCCTTTTTACCCTGCTTTACTTTTTGTCATTCTTGCCTCTGCCTGATACGTATTTGTTTATTTTCCTTCCCCCCAACCAGACTTTAAGTTCCATAGGGGCAAGAACTTTGTTTTGTTCACTGCCCAGTACCCAGCTGAGTATATTCAAATATTTGTTGAATAAATGAGTAAACCACAGTAATGCCTTCTTTACTAAGATTTTTAGCAATGTGCATTAATATGGATAAGGATATTAAAATGTATCATTAATAATAAGATAACATTACTTTCTAATAAGATTGCTGAACAACTAATAACATAAAATTACGTGGAAAATATTTGTTAAAATTGTGTAATTCAGACCATTGGTTACTCATGTCCACCATTACTATAAACTCTAAATTTGTAATCTCAGTATTTTTCTTACTAGCCATGGAAGATTGACTCTGATTACAAGTGTCAGCCACCAGAATCTCCTTTTCGTTAGTGTTATGTTGTGGATGAGTTGAAGATTTTGGATCTTTCCTCAATTCTAAGAGAAAAAAAGAGAAAAATTATATATAAACAAAGAATGAAGTAAAATTTTATCAAAATTTTGATAAACCCCCTTGCCGTACTCCTGACTGACAGCAAACCCTACAGGACAAGGTGGAACTGCCACATAGGATTTCCAAGGCTGTGATTTTTACTGAAGAAGACTGCTACATCCTTCTCCTGTGGAGAGGTTGCTGCGTTCAAATCATTGACCTTTCGGTTACCAGTTGTGTCACCAATATAAACTTCATATTCTAAGAAGTAAGTTCCTTTAGTTTCATTAAGAAACAAAGCTGGGAAGTTAAGACAAGAGGGAGAGAGTACTAGAATATATAAGCTTTCCTGACTTAAGTCACCTCTAGTAGAAATATTTTAATGCTTCTTTTCTTTGTGTATTTTTCACAAATCAGCAAGTTCATAAAATGTACACTGTTTCAAACATCTATACCGTCTTTGTTTTGAGAGTTTTGTCTGGAAGGAAGCCTTGAAACATGGTTATCAGAAAATATTCAGCTTTCTAAGGATTAAATTCAAAGAAAACCCAAAGAATGACCAAGTAAAGGGAAAAAGAACTTTACTAATTGTAACTAGAAAATAATATTAATAAAACACTGTAAACTTTAAGATAAATAAGCAAGGATAAATAGAAGAAAAGGATCAATCAATCATTAAATAAGTTTTATAATACTTTCTATGACTCAAAAAGTTTTAAACCAAAATCTGATTCCAAGTAAAACTGATCAGGGTAAGAGTAGAACAAGCAAATTAAATTTTAAAATCGTTATATGCTGTTCTCATACAGTGAAGCATTTAACCAAAAATATTTATACTGAACACAAAAAGAATTTATACAGAATATAAAAGAAGACTTTCCTAATGAAGAAAATCACTGTGATTTGCTTTCTGAATATTTTTTACATGGATTTAAACACAATAAAAATTATACAGATGCCTATCTGTAATGATTTTTGTATTAAGAGCAAACTAAAAGGTCAGTGAAATGTTCATTCTAGCTCTATACTTTTACATTAAAATTTAGCTCTTAATTATGAGTAAAGGAGCTCTGGTGGCATGATGCCTAAGGCATCGGACTGCTAACCAGAAGGTTGGTTGTTCAAACCCACCAGCCACTCTGCAGAAGGAAGATGGGGCAATCTACTTCCGTAAAGATTTACTACCTTGTAAACCCAAGAGGGGTTGCTATGAATCGGAATCAACTAGATGGCAGTGAGTTTGGGTTTTTTTTTTGGGGGGGGTGGTTAATTATGAGTAGGGTTTTTAACAGTTCTTTTGTTTTCCACTAGATGGTGATGCAAGCTCAAATAAAATGGGGACAAAAATTCCAGTCTTTGAATATCCTCCCCTCTAACCTCTCATAAGAAAGAACCATGATATTTACTTATAATAAATGGCACACAAAAGCTTGGCGAATTGTATCAATTTTTCAGTATCAAGGAATAAGCTCTACTCATATTTTTAAAGGCCTAGCTTACTGACAATGACTTATTTGCACTACATAAACATCTCTAGAACTAGGCAACCTCCTACCCCAAATACTTTCCTTGTTATATATAGTTTAGGTTAAAAGTCTTTACAATTTACTTTAGATTAATATTGAAAGTAATAACTACTGTATTATATCACATGATAAACTTCAGGGTCACATGATAAAACTGTTCCAAAGAATTTAGCAGAAATGGTAAACTGGTCTGGAATTAGAAATATGCTACAAAGTAGATGTTATAAAGACATTTCTTGATTATCACTAATTGCTGCAAATTGTAACAAATAAAAATAATCACTTAAGGACAGATCCAATGGTGTAGTAAGTGTGGGGAGAACTAGAAAGTACAAATGTTAAGAATCAGAAAGCCTTCTATTTTAATTTTGATTTATTTACTTACAGGATAGGTGACCCTGAGTGGGTTATTTAACCTCTCTGAGACCACCTTCTCCTTACCTGTCAAACAAGGTTGCAGTAGCTATCTCACAAGACTGTTATGAGAATTAAAATATGTTAACAATGTATGCAAAGCACTCAGCATAATACTTGGCACACAGTAGGTAGAAATTAATGTTAAGTTTCTGTTATCTTTCCTATTATCCCACTCAGATATACACATAAGCATATTTTAAAAATAAAAAGTAAAGAAACAAAACTACCTACAGTATTGATAAAATGCTGAGTGTTTATATATTGAGATGAACAACACATGTCCATATATAATGTAGGCAGAAAAGGTCTTCCTAGTCACTTTACTGGGAGCTCTAGTGGCATAGTGCCTAAGGCATTTGACTGCTAACCAGAAGCCTGGAGATTCAAACCCACCAGCCACTCCTTGGAAGGAAGGTTGGGCAATCTACTTCCGTAGTGATACTGCCTCAGAAGCCCAATGAGGGGTCGCTATTAGTCGAAATCGACTCTTTGGCAGTGAGTTTGGCTTTTTGGTTTTTGTAATCACTTTACTAATGGAACTAATAAAAACTTTAATGTGAAATTCGCAGGTATAATGTTAAGTTACCTAAAAAACACTATCTTTCACTAGATTGAACAACATAAAAAAGTAGAAATAGACAGGTTTTTCAGAAAACCAACTAACTGAAATAAAATGCCAACCCTCACCATCTGTACATGCAGAGGGCTCCAATTTAGTATGTGCTTGTTCTACGTATCGGACATGGAGGTTCTCCTTTCTTCGTAGCCGGTTAACTCCAGAAAATGAAAAAGCTGTTATCGGTGAATCTGGAATAACATTTTCCTCAGATTCAAGTTCAGTCGCTTGATGCTGTTGATCATTCCTAGAGGAAAATAATGGCAATTGAAAAAATTTAATTCAACAAATATTTATTAAAATATCTATTATACAGAAGAAGTGACCCAAACCTTTTTAAACTTTTCCAAGAAACAGAAGAGGAGGGAACACTTCCTAACTCATTCTATGAATCTAGCATTACTTTGATCCCAAAGCCAAACAAAGACACCACAAGAAAAGAAAATGAGACTAATATCCCTTAGGAATACAGATGCCACAGGAACCTTAGGAGTCCATCAGTTTATGTAAATGGGGAGTAACAACCAGAAGAGGAGGGTGAGAATGTTGCACAACCTGAAGAATGTCATCTATGTCACTGAACTGTTCATGTACAAGCTGTTGAATTGGTGTGTCTTGCTGTGTATGTTCTCAAAAACAAAAATAAAATAAATTAGATGAAAACAAAGAATACAGATGCAAGAATCCTCAATGAAATATCAGCAAACAAAATTCAGAAGCATATTAAAAGGATTATATACAATGACCAAGTGGGATTTATCTCCGGAATCCCAGGATGGTTTGGTATTAGAAAACTAATCAATGTAATACACCAGAAGAAAAGAATCACATGATCATCTCAATCAATGCAGAAAAGGCCTGTGACAAAATCCAATACTCTTTCATCATTAAAAAACACTCAATAAGTTAGGAATAGAAGGGAAATTCCTAAAAATGATAAAAAGCATTTATGGAAAACTCACTGCCAACATCATACTCAGTAGAGGACATCCACTGTTACCACTGTTACTCAAAATTGTACTGGAAGTTCTACCCAGTTCTACCCAAGGAAAAAAAAGTTCTACTCAAGAAAAAAGAAAGGTATCCAAATCAGGAAAGAAGAAGTAAAACTATCCCTTTTTGCTGATGACATGACTCTACAAATAGGAGCTCTGGTGGTGTAGTGTCTAAGGCATTTGACTGCTAACAAGAAGGCTGGTGGTTCAAACCCATCAGCCACTCCTTGGAAGGAAGATTGGGCAATCTACTTTCATGTTGATACCGTCTCGGAAACCCAAGGAGGGGTCGCTATGAGTCGGATCCGACTTGACGGCAGTAAGTTTTGTTTGGTTTCGGTTTATAGAAGAACCTGAAGAATTCACAAGAAAGCTACTATAGCTAATAAGTGAATTCAGCAAAGTGGCAGGATACAAGGTCAATACATGAAAGACAGTCGGGTTTTCATATGTTAGCAGTGAGCAAGCTGAAAAGGAAGTAAGAAAAACAATTCCATTTATAATAGCATTGAAAATGACAAAACACCTAGGAATAAATTTAACCAGAGAGGTGAAAGACTTGTACGCTGAAGATTATAAAACATTACTGAAACCTGTCATGACTGTGGTGGTATTTGCAACCACCACATATGTGTGCATACAAAAACTAGGCAACGAATAAGGCAGGCTGAGAATTGATGCATTTGAATTGTGGTAGTGGTGAAGAACACTGAATACACCGCAGACTGGCAGAAGAATGAACATTTGTCTTAGGAGAGTACAGCTGGATGCTCCTCAGAAGCAAGGATGGCAAGACTCCATCTCTCAGCTTGGTAATGTTCTCAGGAGGGGCTAGTCCCTGGAGAAGGACATCATGCTTGGTAGAGGGTTGCTGAAAAAGAGGAAGACCCTCAAGGAGATGGACTGACGGTGTTTGCAACAATGGGATCAGACACAGCAACAATTGTAAGGATGACACAGGACTGGGCAGTGCTTCATTTTGCTTTACATAGGGTTGCTATGCATCGGAAGTGACTCAATGGCACCTAACAACAAAAAATAAATGGAAGGATTCCGTGCTTTTTGGTTGAAAGGCTTAATACTGTTAAGCTGTTGGTATTACCTAAATCTATAGTTGAACACAATACTCATTAAAATACCAACAGCCTTCTTTGCAGAAACGGAATAGCCAATCCTCAAATTTATACAGAACCACAAGAGGCCTCAATTAGCCAAAGTAATCTTGACAAAGAACAAAGTAGGAGGACTCATACTACTACTATTTTTTTTTAAGAACTATTTTTTAAGAACTATTTTATTTTTTGTGGCAATATACACACACACCCATTCACAATCTCTACATGAACATTTCTATAACACTGGTTACATACTTCACATCATGTTACCATTCTAACTCTACCTATATTGTTTCACCACCATTAATTTAAGCTCTTTGCACATTCAAGTTCTCGTCTGTGCTTTAGATTAACTGTTCTCAATTTACACTCATAGAAAATTCTTTATAAGAGCTCAACGCTCAAGTAATACATTATTAATTGGGCTAGTTTAATGATGACCCAAGGGATAGTCTCAATTCAAAGTTTAAAGATTTTTTCCAGGCATTAGATTTGGTAGTTTCCCCAGTCTCAATGAATCTAGTAAGTCAGTTTTCCACATTGAGTTTGAAGTTCTGGTCCACAATTTTCCTCCTTTTTTATCAGGATCCATCTACTGGGTCCTTGATCAAAACATTCAGTAATGGTAGGTAGGCACCATCCATTGCTTCTGGTTTCATTGTAATGGAGATAGCAGTTTAGGATTCATACATCTTGATTTCAAAACATGTCATAAAGTTACAGTAATCAAGATGGTCTGAAACTGGTATAACACTAGATATATAAACCAATGGAACAGAATTGAGAATTTACAAATAAGCCTGCAATCTACAGTCAACAAGGGTGACTATTTTCAACCAGGGTGTGAAGTTCACCCAATTGGGAAAGAATAGTCTGTTTGATAAGTGGTGCTGGGAAAACGAGATATTCATAAGCCAAAGGATGAGCCTAGTCCCATACCTCATACAATATACGAAAAGTAACTCAAAATGGATCAAAGACCTAAATGTAAGAGCTGAAACCATAAAATTCTTAGGAGAAGCCATACAAGAAATGCTTTGGGATTTAATTTTTATAAATGGATTCCTAGCTATGACACTGAAAGCATGAGCAACAAAAGACAAACTATGTAAGTGAGCTCATCAAAATTAAAACAAAACAAAACAAAAACCACAACACCTTTTCTAATCAGAGGACTTTATAAAAAAGGTGAAGAAAAACCTACAAATAGGGAGAAAATTGTTAGAAGTTATATATTGGATAAGGGCTTAATATCTAGAATATATAAAGGACTCTTACAATTAAACAACAAAAAGATAAATAACCCAATGAAAAAATGGACAAAGGACTTACATAGACATTTTACCAAAGAAAAAATTCAAACTGTCAATAAGCACATGAAAAGGTGCTCAAAGTCACTGGTCACTAGAGAAATGTAAATGGAAACCACAATGAGGTATTACCTCACACCCGCTTAGATGACCATGATTTAAAAAAAGGGAAAATAACAGGTATTGGCAAAGACATAGATAAATTGGAACACTCATTCATTACTGGTGGGATTGTAAAATTGTACAGCCACTGTGGAGAATAGTTTGGTGGTTTCCCAAAAAGCTACACAGAATTACCCTGTAATCTAGCAGCGGTATATACCCCGAAAAATTAAAAGCAGAAATGCAAAGATATTTGCATAACCTTGCTCATGGTAGCCTATTCACAATACCCAAAAGGTGGAAACAGTCTAAAGATCCATCAGCAGATGAATGGATAAACAAATATATATTATACACATACAATGGAATCCTATTCAGCCCTAAAGAGAAATAAAGACCTGATACACACTACAACATGAAAGAACCTTGAAAATATTATGCTGAGTAAAACAGTTCAGTCACAAAAGTACAAATATGTATGATCCCACTTACATGAAATATCAAGAATAGGAAAGTATACAGAGATCAAAGTTTACTGGTAATTACCAGAAGCAGGTGGGAAAGAGGGAGGAAAAGAAGATACAATGCTTAGGGGACCCTGAGATTCTGTTAGGAATGATGGAGAAATAAAAAAAATCGTTAATTGTAATAGTTGAACAACATGATAAACATATTTAAAATCACTAAATTGTACATGTGAAGATTGTTGAAATGGCAAATGTTTCGTTACCTATGTTGTTGTTAGGTGCCGTTGAGTCACTTCCGACTCAGAGCGACCCCATGCACAGTAGAATGAAACATCACCCGATTCCGTGCCAGCTCCATGATCCTTGCTATACTTGAGCCCATTGTCGCAAGCCACCGTGTCAATCCATCTCATTGAAGGCCTTCCCCTCTTTCATTGACCCTCCACCTTACCAAGCATGACATCCTTCTCCAGGGAATGGTTCCCTCTGACAACATGACCAAAGTAGGTGAGACGAAGTCTGGCCATCCTCACTTCCAAGGAGCATCTTGGCTGCACTTTCTCCAGGACAGATCTGTTAGTTCTTTTGGCAGTGCATGGTACCTTCAGCATTCTTCACTAGCACCACAACTCAAAAGCATCAGTTCTTCTTTGGTCTTCCTTATTCATTGTCCAGCTCTCAAATGCATACGAGGCAATTGGAAATATCATGGCCTGTCAGGCGCATCTTAGTCCTCAAGGAGACATCGTTGCTCCTCAGCACTTGAAAGAGTTCCTTTGCAGCTCACCTACCCAGTGCTACACGTTGTCTAAAGTCCTGACTGCTGTGTCCATTGGCCTCGATTGTAGAACCAAGCAACGTGAATTCCTTGACAACCTCAATCTTTTCTCCATTTATCGTCATGTTGCTTATTGGTCCAGTTGTGAGGATTTTTGTTTTCTTTATATTGAGATGTAATCCATACTGCAGACTGTGTTCCTCAATCTTCATCAGTAATTGCCTCAAGTCATCCTCACTTTCAGAAAGCAAAGTTGTATCATCAGTGTACCTCAGATTGTTAATGATTCTTCCTCCAATCCTGATGCCACGTTTTTCTTCATATAGTCCAGCTTCTCGGATTATTTGCTCAGCATATAGATTGAATAAGTATGG